TCTTATTGACGTTGTATTGTCTCAACAGTGACAGCGGGTCTGCCATTGTTGCCCAACCACTTCACCACTTCCTCCTCGCAAGTGTGGGCACTGATGGCACTCGTGATCACTAGACAAGTGTCTGGATTTGCTGTGTGTCCACACAATCACTGTTTGTGTGATTATTATGAACACCGAAACAAACAGTAAAATGTGTTTCAGTTGTCAATAAAAACATTGAATGCTTTCAATACGTGCTGTGATCGCCATCTGTGGACACAATCTGTGGTCAAAACAAAGCTTTTTCCACAGAATAATAATGATTATTGAGAATTTACTATCAAATTAATAATATTTGTTTAATATGTGCATTCATTTAACAGAATAGTCGTTCAAATTAGTCAATAATTAAGAGTATCTATTGTCTCACAATTTATGTGTCAATTACACAAATCATAGAAATACAGATACCGTAAGTTAGTATTCTGTATAGATAAGTTATACCGGTAATAAAATTATATTTTGCTTAACAACCTTCATTTAAAATCAGTATATAACTTTATAAATTAATAAAACTTAATTACAATAAATAAAATTGATTATAATAATTAAAACTAATGAAACAATTAATTCATTGGTTATCTGCAACTATTCAAGAACTTGAGTTCTTCGCCACGAATTTGCAGCTTTTTGTCCACAAGTGTTGTCTCTTCTTTGATCTAAACCATGAAATAAGACAACAATTAAAATACAAATTAATTGTTAATTATTTCTAAACAAGACTTACGTTAACAATGGATGTCTTGTCGTAAGACAATTGTCCGCATTTAGAGCAGGGCTTCGTCGGAATCAATACATTGAAAGTATAGCTCCTATTCTTACAGTTCTTACACTTGAAGAAGCGTTTGGTGGCCTTATGTCTGACGAGTTTGTGACGAGATTTACGGCATAAGTCGGAGGCCGAGTGAGCCGTGTATTGACAGGAGTGGCAACTGATGACAACGCACTCCACTTCATACGTCTCCGACAGCTTTGTCTCCATTTTCTCCTTCTTCTCGAGTGTTGAGAAATACTTGTCTCGAGAGATGGCTTCCGCTTCTTCGACGCCCCTCTCATTCACTGACTTCCGACCCAATGCTTCGCTTATTAACTGAGTTCGCAATCTCTTCACTCTTTTCTCCTCTTCTTCTTCTTGTACTTCAGAAGTGTCTCCCGAAGCGATCAGTTCTGAGTCTATTCGGGCTTTGATTCTCTCCAACGCTCTCTTATTTTGACTCTTTTTCGTGTCATTCGGGTCTTTGGCGACAATAGGTTTCGCAGTCAGTGTCTGAATGGCTCGCAATTTAGCGCTTGAATTGTGACTCAAATCAATCAAATCTCCGCTTTTGTATCCTTTGGCTAACGCGGGGACAGAGAAGTGACTCAAACTCTGACCATTGGTCTCGCGTTTGATTGATTTGAACACATCTTTGGCAGAAATGACTGAAGAGTTCCCGGTTTTGTTGGCTTTGACGTCACCGCATGTAAGGGCCAACTGTTTGGCCGCTTTGGAGATGGGATTCTTCATAACTTTGGTCAGTGTTTTGCACTCATTATCTCTCTTAGTCTTCAAATCACTCGACTTATAGACTTTGGTCTCAACTATGGGCCCATCCTTTCGCTCTCCGTCCGCAAAACCGTTGCAAAACATACCGCCGTTCGCGGCGTTCAGTCCGTACTTCTTGGGCTCGACGTTGGAGAACGACGACTGAATTTCGGCCCTCTTTGAGGCGAACTTCTTGTAGGCGTTCCTCACGTGAAACACACAGAAGTCCTCTTCAGCCAAATTGATTAAAGCGCCGCAAATCTCTTGATTCTTCTTAACGGCGCGACAATAGCCCAGATCTTTGGCCGTTCCCAACACCAGAAGTTTAGCCGAATTGTCGATAGTTAGCGAACAGATCTCGCTTTTGCCGTATTTTGAGTCCTTCTTGAAGTCGTCGGACATTATCTTAGCGTTCAGTAGACCGACAACAGAGCCGACGGTGAGCTTCCAGTGCTCGGCGTAGACGTCGCCGAACAGGAAGAATGAGACCGTATTCTTGGTCTTCATGTCACTTAACTTCCAAATGGAGTACTGTTTGCCGTTTTTGCTCACTTTTGGCGCCACTTTGTTGACCACCACTCCGATGGTCACCCAATCGTCGTCAATGTCTTGAGTTTTGCGGTTTATGTGAGACTTAATTAAAGACATTTTAACCATTTTTCGTCCGCTCATCAGTTCCCGCATCCGATCGCTTGATATCAACGGATTTATGAGACGAATGCCGGAGAAGACATCGCGAATCGAGTCATCCGTTTGTTTCTTCGCCATCGCGTTCTTCGGCTTCTTTTGTGTCCAAATATTTTTGCCGTTTTTATCGCCACTTCTTTTCGTCTCAAACAACGAAACACTTGTCGACTCGTTATCTCTGTTGAGGTTATCGGCGATCAGTTGTCCCTCTTTTGTGAGACACGACTCGCGCCCTAACTCTTCGTCATCACTCATATCACCGAACAGTTGCCGAACACTCGTCTCGTTGTCACCGCACGAGCCACTCGTCCCCTCTTTGGCCGCAAATATGTCTTCGCTGTCGTCAATGAGTTTGAGTGTTTGACTCACGTCTTGGTGGCCATCAGTGGCACCGACGCCTCCGTCCGACACGTTATCATCGCATTCATCGTTGATTAGCGCCAGTATATCGTTGGCGAACAGCTCTTCATCCTCATCGGCGGCCACCTTATTGTCCATTATCTGAAAAAAGTAATTCAAAAGACACACCAATTAAGACAAACATCTCTGTGTTTATCAATGAACTGATCCCTTACTGTGCGAGTGGTATGCCTGTGAGGACTCGTGTGGACACAATCTATGCGTAAATATGTGGACAACGATTGAAAAGTATTTGAAAACAAATTGTCGTAAAAGTAATGATAAACAAGAAATGCTTTTTGTGTTGTGTTTTGTCTGTCATTGCATTCAGCGCTCAAACACTGCATTTGAGTTCACATTTGGAGCCAAAACACTGCACAACAAACACAATGTCAACACTCATTGGCTCGCATTCACTGTATGTATCGCTATCTACTGGATATTGACGGCTAGTGTGACCACATATACAGCACAAGAATCTACTGATAATAAGAAGTCTCAATCTGTCAAAGAACACAGTTTGCTGTGGAAAGAGTGCTAAAAGAGGTATAAATGTGCATGGTTATCTCATGAAATTATCTTTAAAACGATTTTTCATGTAAATTTAAAATGAAAACTATTTTTAGTTTGATATTCTTGAGTACTTTAATGTTTCAAAAGTTTTAATACTGTATTTTTATACTGTTTATAACATAGTTTCTATCAGTGTTTAAAATCATTTCTATAGCACCATGATAATTTCTGATTAGTGACTCTTTACCTGTAATAAAATCCAAAACCTACTAATCATTAAAAATGCAAATACTTAACATATTAAAGTTTTGATAACTCATGAATGCCTGTTTACTTCTAGACTAAATTATCAATAGGTTTGCACAATGAATAAGTGCTTGTAATACGAGATTTTACTGTTAAATAAACAAAAATAAAGATTTACTTCAAATATCACATAAAATTCATTTGTGTTTAAAACTCTTATATTTAAATAAAAAAGAGGACAATCATTAGGTCCGGGGGTCGACCCATGCGATCGCACAATGAATAGGGGGATCACAACAGCAGCGGGGGTTCTCTGGTCACTCTAGTCATCACTTTTGCCGCTAATTATATGTACAGAATATCTATACGTATGTCTGATATGCAGACCATTTGCGTGCGAATAGCGTTGGAAGCGTTTCCAAGAAGTTCTTTCACACAATTCCTATGCTTTATATTCTGCTTATCATTCCGAAGGAAAGTTTCCCCAACTTTTATGACACAAAAACACTAATTATTTAAAAGCTTTTCACCGCAAATCGATAAATAAGTAAATTATTTGCAGTGCCTCTCCGCATGTATGACCCTGAACACTGTCGCATACACACCCAGACCCAGTCCAGTCTATTCGTTTGGCACCATTCCCGTCCAACCCATCAAAATAATAATTATTTAAAACCTTTTTACAACCCTTTTGTTTCCCTATAATGAACTAACTTTTCATTAGAAAAGTGTTTCAAATAAACACATTATTTCAGTATTTCATAAAAAGTTTCTAAAAGTTATATTCATATCATATGCTTAAATAAATTCTTTCGTTAAGTTCTCTAATGAATGCAAAAATATTCTTTGGAGACAAACAAAAGTTTGGTTTTTATTTGAAAAGTATTTTCCTTATGAAGAGCTTTAATGGACAAAAGTTTTGGCAACTTTCCAGCACAGGTAGGAAAGTTAGCATCGCTTTATGCAACGCTATAAATGTGGTCTAAATGGTAGGAACGGCTCCACTCTATTATCACAAATGCATTAAAGTCTAAGAGGAGGCGACAGACTTCAGGCTATTTGATCGCTGCCTTTCAGTCCTCCACTACTCCAGTACTCACAGTCCCCTCTCCTATACCTCTCTATATCTTCTATACCTCTCTATACCTGATCCCAAGCCATACGTTGTTATCGACAGACTTGCCCTTCAAATCATTATTTCATTTTACGTGCGCTTCAGTCGCGTAACTCATGAACACATCCTATGAATAGATTTGCCAACAAATGAAAGATTCGCAGCATTTGCACAAAGAATCGCACAATAAATAGGAGAAACGTTTTGGTTTAAGAAAAATGATTTCCAAACAAATCATGAGAACAATCGACACATTTTCTTCCGATTGCTTTAAAAGGCATTCATTTATTTTGTGGACAAAACAAAATATCTGCTGGACTTCAAGTGCCACAGCTTTTTCATAGGTCCTCATAATAGAGACTATAGTTTCGTGGGTTACGCCACTTATCCTGAGAGAGAAATCTGTTGCAAATGTTGAGTACCTGTTCAGGTAATCATAGGGTTCAATGCCTCGACTGGATGAATTCGCTCTCCCAGTCTCTCCCAGTCTCTCTCTCTCTCTCTCTCTCTCTCTCTCCGCTCTCTTTTATGTGTTGCCATAATAGCCCTGCGCTTGAATTCCAATGGATGGTTAGCACAAGCAGTGGTCGATCCGGTCCTACAGCATAGGAATCACGGCCCGCATAGAGACCTATGACTGATAACACAAATAGCAAAATGGCTTTTGAAGAGAGAAAAACTTTTTTTCTCTTTTAAAGTGACAATCAATGCCTTTCCGGACACGAAGTTTTATGTGTGAACTGTCGTTGCGTTTGAACTGAAACATTTTGGGCAAAATCTTTATTATTATTAACACCAGACCTGAGATTACCTGTTGGTTTTGGTGGTGCGATCCCATTCCCCAAACGTATACTCCAGTCTCGCTCAGTCTGAGTCTGTGTTTGCTTTTGTGTTGATCCCAATTATCAACAATAAAGTGGTGGCTCTTTGTGTATGTCATCAATAATCCTATTAATGATAATAAATGGCATCAATATATTCCCATCAAAACCATTGCCCGCAAAAAGTTTACTGTTATTTATTTTCGCAAATTCTTTCCGCCGTTTAATTACTCCACTGTTTTGAACGTTAAATTTTATGACAAAAAAGTATTTGCTATTTGTTTTTATGCCATAACTTGTGTGTGTTTTGGCGAATAATTATTTTTCATGACAAGTGGCTGTGCTTTTCGTGGCAATCATCGACCCGCTGGTGTGATCACCACTTGTGATACCAATTAGACACCGAATCAGTCCATCAATAATCACTAAATATGTTCAGACGACCACTACTGTCGCAAAAGTGTCTCCACAAAAGTTTCACAACTTTTTTGTCAATATGTTTGACAATTCTGTATAATGGTTAGCACAAGCAGTGGTCGATCCGGTCCTACAGCATAGGAATCACGGCCCGCATAGAGACCTATGACTGATAACACAAATAGCAAAATGGCTTTTGAAGAGAGAAAAACTTTTTTTCTCTTTTTAAAGTGACAATCAATGCCTTTCCGGACACGAAGTTTTATGTGTGAACTGTCGTTGCGTTTGAACTGAAACATTTTGGGCTAAATCTTTATTATTATTAACACCATACCTGAGATTACCTGTTGGTTTTGGTGGTCCGATCCCATTCCCCAAACGTATACTCCAGTCTCGCTCAGTCTATGTCTGTGTTTGCTTTTGTGTTGATCCCAATTATCAACAATAAAGTGGTGGCTCTTTGTGTATGTCATCAATAATCCTATTAATGATCATAAATGGCATCAATATATTCCCATCAAAACGATTGCCCGCAAAAAGTTTACTGTTATTTGTTTTCGCAAATTCTTTCCGCCGTTTAATTACTTCACTGTTTTAAACGTTAAATTTTATGACAAAAAACTATTTGCTATTTGTTTTTATGCCATAACTTGTGTGTGTTTTGGCGAATAATTATTTTTCATGACAAGTGGCTGTGCTTTTCGTGGCAATCATCGACCCGCTGGTGTGATCACCACTTGTCATACCAATTAGACACCGAATCAGTCCATCAATAATCACTAAATATGTTCAGACGACCACTACTGTCGCAAAAGTGTCTCCACAAAAGTTTCACAACTTTTTTGTCGATATGTTTGACAATTCTGTATATAATAGACGATAAATGTTTCAATTGTTGGTCACTTCAGGACACCATTACAGCCGCTTATACTTCCGATCAGATTGAGCTCAACTTCTCCATACCGGAGGGGGTGCCCAACGGAACCCTTATCGGTGTCATCAAGTCTTCCAACGCTTCACACAATTTCCAACCGCCATATCTTATAGTTCCCGTTCCCGGAGGTATGTCTCGTATAACGTGCTAATCAACAATTAAAAGTTGCCACAAATAATCACCGATTTTCGTACTATACAGGAAACGGTGGCGGAGGGGTAGACATTGACCTCGACATCGACCAGACGACAGGCGAGATACGGACAGCCGTGCCATTGGATCGGGAAGAGCGCAGTTACTACTCGTTTATAGCCTTACCATTAAGTGGTGCCGTCATTAAAGTCACGATTGTATGCATTCATAGCTATAATTATATCTCACTTTAAATATTATATGAAAATCCGTGTTTAAAACCCTTTTTTGTTTGGCAGACAATCGAAGATATTAACGATAATTCACCCAAATTTCCCACAAATGAAATCGATTTGGAATTTCCTGAAAATAGTAAACCCAGAGATGTTAAGCGAACACTACCACCGGCCAGGGATCTAGACTTAGGTATGGGTCAACACTTTAAATATGTGATATAATATGTCGAGGGCTTCTTAATCAACTTGTTTGGTCACAATTTAGGTGAATATGGGACTCAAAAGTACCGAATAGTTTCGGGAAATATTGGGAATGCGTTCCGACTGTTGAGTCACAGAGAAAAGGATGATGTCTTGTATTTGGACCTTCAAGTGAACGGACCACTCGATCGCGAAGGCATTTCAAACTATACTCTGGTTATTGAAGCTCTGGATGGCGGCCAACCGCAGCTCAGGGATGAGATGACTGTGAGGATTACAATTGTAAGTCCAGTCAAATGATAGACAATTTGAGTGATAATAACCGTAAAATGTGTTCATTTAAAGTTGGAAGTGTTGCTGACGCTTGGTCACAAGTCACTTTCAGTAATAATGCCTTTACACCGGCTTTTACAGTGAAATCCGTGTGGGGATAACTCCCACTTTCGGTGACTATTACTAGTCCCTCTTTTGCCTGAGATCACATACTCACTGCATAGTAAGCCTCTGTCAGGTCTGTCCCCGTACTTCGAGATCAATAAGAACAACGGCTGGATATTTGTGGCCAAATCACTGGACTTTGAGTCCAAAGAGATCCACGAGTTGGTGGTTATCGCCAGAGATTCTGGCGCTCAACCGCTCGAGACATCAGCGCTGGTGTCCATACGGGTGACTGACGTCAATGACAATCAGCCGACGTTTAGCCTACTGTTCCTCACAGAGAACGCCCGGCCGGCGATACCGGAAAACGCAAAGATCGGTGATTTAGTGGCCAGGGTTTCGGTGAACGACGCCGACTCCAGCGACTTCTCTGTCAATTCGGCCACAAATGCAGACAATAATCGACTGTCGGTTTCGTTGACTGGAAATGACGATAGTTTTGGTCTCACGACTCAGGATAACGTCATTTACCTGATAGTAGTGACCGGACCTCTCGATCGAGACATCAAATCAAAGTACAATCTGACGGTTATGGTCACAGATCAGGGCATTCCTCCCCTAAACAAGACTTCCTGCTTCGAGATCGAGATATTGGAGAAGATTGAGACCACTCCTCATCTACAGATAGTTAATGAAGACATCACAACAATCCATACAGTGGTCGACACATCCAGTGATAGCATATACCATACGATACCAATTACAGGGGTATCCAATGCCACATTACATTTGGGACCAGGAATACAACCAATAGGAACATCCAAATCGACAGTACTTTATGAAGTATCAAACGCCACGTCGGTTCCCGGATCCACTTATCACCCGTGTTGGTTATTGAGCTGGGATATAAGACCAGGTAGGTTAAGCTGTGATGACAGGCCGTGTAGTAAGGACCCCTGTCGGTTGAGCGGTAGGTAAGGGTCAACCTATGAGAAGGATTAGGTACTCTTGATGTTGACAACAGTGATACTGATGGCGAGTATTGTCGTCATATGTCTCAACCAACACCAGCAACAGAAGCAGATAATGTCGGATCACATCCGACACATCGGACCGCATAGTATGGGCTCATTCATGCATAGCATGGGATCCATGGGTGGAACTGATCCCAAAGACTTGACATATCACTCACACCACACACCCAACTACGGCACAGCCCCACCGGCGCCGCCGCCCTGTTATAACGACCTGACACTGCCCTCCAACGCAGTGCTCAGCAGCGCTGAGGGACACTCAGCCTCCAGCGGACGGGGATCTGTTGATGGCGACGAAGTGGAGGTAGACATGGATGACATGGACGAAGAGGTCCGGATGATCAACGAGAGCGGCAATTATTACCGCGAAGACGACGATAACGAAGTGACCACAACTGCCCTATACTTCGCACGACTCGGTGTTATCAACCATAACGAGGAGGAACGGGAGGACACGTCGACTGCTGTCGAGGATGAAGAGGAGGAGGACTTAGTGATGGATAAGATGGCAAATATAATCGATAGTTCGCTGAGTATTAACAGCATTATAGAGCAACAGCACAGGAATAATGTGTTAAACGGTTCTGTGAATCAATCGTACGGTTCGTTGTCATCGATACTGCACTCCGAGGAAGAGCTCAGCGGCTCTTATAATTGGGATTATCTGCAGAACTGGGGCCCAAAATATCTGCCGTTGGCCTCAGTGTTCGCCGAAGTGGCCCGACTTAAGGCCACCAACGCTAGAGATGGCGAGAATGGGATGGGAATAGAGAGCGGATCCATTAGGAGCTCATCGACCGCGTCGTCCCATAAGACGGCAAATAGGCATCACTTATCGGTTCACACGACACCGCCAACAATGGCCACCACTCCCATCAACGGTGGCTTCCATTCGCTGTCACCGTTGAACTCAACTCAAAATATCAAGACATTGGGCTTAAGTAATGGTCTGAGTATTGGATCGCACGGAGAGCCAGACATTCAGTCCATTGAGGCCCAGATGGCCATCGAGAGAGCCTCTACCAGGAGTTCATCGGCCGCCTCATCCCACAAGACATCGCACAGACACCACTTAGCTGTCCATCAAAACTCCAATCGATTCTCACATCCGCTGAACTCAAACATCAAGACATTAGGTCTGAGTAATGGTATGGGTGTCGGTCCGCACGGCGCCGAACACGACATGCCGTGCATTGAGACACATATGACGGTCGAGAACGGGTCGATCACCAGGAGTTCATCGGCCGCCTCATCCCATAAGACAAACACAAGTAGACATCACATGCCATACCCCAACAGATTATCCCATTCCTCTTCATCGCCATTCGTCGTCACATCGATGTCTGGCTTCCAATCGCTGTCACCGCGAAATCCATCGCCAAATGCAGACATCAATGACTTAAACAATGGATTAACTATTGATGAAGAGTTCACGATCTGATCCCTTCATACCATAGACTTATAGTGTAAAGACTTAGCAAATAATTTATTGTTAAAAAATCATTTCTGTATCCGATTTGCCATTCATTAACAGTTCCTCCAAATGACTGAATAGTTAGCGAAATATTTTCAAATCAATTACTTTTGTATAAAAATATTTTCTTATAAATCCTATTCTCGCTATTAGTTTCACAAATCACTACTAAATTATATTTATAAATATATTTTTATATATTTCTACGAAATATGCAAAACACAAATCAAAACATAGTTTTGAATTACATTTTATATAAGTTATCATTAAATTTAATTGTAATTAAGTTTTCTTATATGTAGTCATAGACTGAAAATATTAATAAATTAAAGACTTTTGTGCAAAATATTCTGCAAAAACAAATTAAATTATTTATTCATACATTTATTCTTGAATTTATCAATACTTTCAAATAATTTATAAATAATTTAATTTGCAAAACAGCTTTCACTACAAATATCATGACAAATGCTGTTATTGCACAACAAATTAACCCATTATTAGCTAACTAACGGTATAATCATACTGTATAGCAATGCATTCAATATACCGGCATTATAGACAATTTAAATATTCTTGTAATAGTGATTATTATTAATTAAATCACAAACTAATTTCATTTAATAGTACAGTATATACTCAATAATATTAAGCCAATATATAAACAATTTATTTATAACTCTTGTCTCATGTGAACATAGTTTTGAATTACATTTTATATAAGTTATCATTAAATTTAATTGTAATTAAGTTTTCTTATATGTAGTCATAGACTGAAAATATTAATAAATTAAAGACTTTTGTGCAAAATATTCTGCAAAAAACAAATTAAATTATTTATTCATACATTTATTCTTGAATTTATCAATACTTTGCAAAACAGCTTTCACTACAAATTAACCCATTATTAGCTAACTAACGGTATAATCATACTGTATAGCAATGCATTCAATATACCGGCATTATAGACAATTAAAATATTCTTGTAATAGTGATTATTATTAATTAAATCACAAACTAATTTCATTTAATAGTACAGTATATACTCAATAATATTAAGCCAATATATAAACAATTTATTTATAACTCTTGTCTCATGTGATGTTCAGATAAAANAAATATTCTTGTAATAGTGATTATTATTAATTAAATCACAAACTAATTTCATTTAATAGTACAGTATATACTCAATAATATTAAGCCAATATATAAACAATTTATTTATAACTCTTGTCTCATGTGATGTTCAGATAAAAAACTAGACAACACTTGTGGTTAGAAAAGTGCATATCTATGATCAACAACTCAACTTATCTGACCACAAGTATGGCACACATTATATCTTAAGTAATATGATTGTGTCAATGATTACAGATTACTGTCATATGAATGTTTTGTAAAGTACTGAAAATATGATGCAATTAAGTGCATTGTGTTTGCAATTTGCAAAGACGACAACCCTTTCCTCCCGGTGCTCTCTGCCAATGACTCAGTTACTGATAAAACACTTGCAAACTCTTCTATGAATCGCTCAAATAGTCTAATAGTTATGCATTTCATTGGCATTTCACTCCAAATAGCATACAATTCAATGCCTATGACATGCATTCAATCATTTCACAAATATAACTCATTTTAAACATCTATTTTAAACTCAATTTAAAGTTTATTTATACTGTATTTATATAAAAGTTGTAAACTTTTAGTCAAATTATAAATCATTATACAAATGAATGCGAAAAGCATTTGAATCTAAACTAGTGATCAATTGAATGAAAACCCAAAATCTACTCAAACATCACTAAACTCATGGAAAACTGAATACTCAATGAAATCTCATTAAATGCAACATAAAGTCATTGAACAGAAAAATTAAAGTTTTCGCGAGAAATATGACAAATAGTCATCAAATTGATATGAAAAGCATAATTAGACAGCAAATGCCCACTAATTACTTGATAGTCTGTCCCATTGAGTAGTACCCCTACAAAGTTCATTAAATGCCAAACTAATGGTATGTTCGTTAACCCCATTAAGACATTGAATCAAATCTAAACTAATTATGAAAACAAATACATTAGCAAAACGTATGATACAAATGAACGCTATTTTAAGGTCTCAAATGCATTGACATTGAAATGCATTGCAATCGCAATACCTTTACTGCAGTCATACAGTCATAGGACTAATGCTATTGCGATAGACATAGCCTTTCATATGATTCGCTACAACACAGTCAACAACAGCAGTGTATGACATCACACACGTGTCCACCAATAGGAGTGCGACACCAACACAGACACTGCCATTGACTGCGCTATGGCTCACAACCCTATAAATAGGAGTGAAGTCTCTGTGAGAGAGTTATTGTGAGTTCAGACTCGACACCAAACACAACATAACTTTTGTTGCAATCGTTTCATACGTTTTAATTCATTTCCAATCAATCAATTCAATTGACTTAAGGTTTGTATTGTCTTTGATTTGTTGGCCAATTGATCACTACTTCAGTGGTCACTCAAGTAGTGGTCCATTGGTGTTGTCTTTGTGTTTGTCGTGTCGTTCACCGCAAACCCTAAGCCAACGCCCTATCAGTTGATTGTCTTTATGGCCACTAATGGTCTCTCTCTTTGTTCTCCTCTTCAGTCAAACGCAATGCAGATCTTTGTGAAGACACTGACCGGTAAGACCATCACTCTTGAGGTCGAGCCCTCGGACACCATTGAGAACGTGAAGGCCAAGATCCAGGATAAGGAAGGCATTCCTCCGGATCAGCAGCGACTCATCTTCGCCGGCAAACAACTAGAGGACGGACGCACTCTCTCGGACTATAATATCCAGAAGGAGTCCACTCTTCATCTGGTGCTCCGTTTGAGAGGAGGGATGCAAATCTTCGTCAAGACGTTGACCGGAAAGACCATTACTCTTGAGGTCGAGCCGTCGGACACCATCGAGAATGTGAAGGCGAAAATCCAGGACAAAGAAGGCATTCCTCCGGATCAGCAGCGCTTGATCTTCGCCGGCAAACAGCTCGAAGACGGCCGCACTCTCTCGGACTACAACATCCAGAAGGAGTCGACCCTTCATTTGGTCCTTCGATTGAGAGGAGGGATGCAGATCTTCGTTAAGACCCTCACCGGCAAAACCATCACTCTTGAGGTCGAGCCCTCCGACACCATTGAGAACGTGAAGGCCAAGATCCAGGACAAGGAAGGCATTCCTCCGGATCAGCAGCGCTTGATTTTTGCGGGCAAACAGCTCGAAGACGGCCGCACTCTCTCCGACTATAATATCCAGAAGGAGTCCACTCTTCATCTGGTGCTCCGTTTGAGAGGAGGGATGCAAATCTTCGTCAAGACATTGACCGGCAAAACGATTACTCTTGAGGTCGAGCCGTCGGATACCATCGAGAATGTGAAGGCGAAGATTCAGGACAAGGAAGGCATTCCTCCGGACCAACAGAGGCTTATCTTTGCGGGCAAACAACTGGAAGACGGGCGCACTCTTAGCGACTATAATATCCAGAAGGAGTCGACTCTCCATCTGGTCCTCAGACTCAGAGGAGGAATGCAGATATTCGTCAAGACATTGACCGGCAAAACGATTACTCTTGAGGTCGAGCCGTCGGATACCATCGAGAATGTGAAGGCGAAAATCCAAGACAAAGAAGGCATTCCTCCGGATCAGCAGCGCTTGATCTTTGCCGGCAAACAGCTCGAAGACGGCCGCACTCTCTCAGACTACAACATCCAGAAGGAGTCGACCCTTCATTTGGTCCTTCGATTGAGAGGAGGGATGCAGATCTTCGTAAAGACTCTGACCGGAAAGACCATCACTTTAGAGGTCGAGCCATCGGATACCATCGAGAATGTTAAGGCCAAGATCCAGGACAAGGAAGGCATTCCTCCGGACCAACAGAGACTCATCTTCGCGGGCAAACAGCTGGAAGACGGCCGCACTCTCAGCGACTATAACATCCAAAAGGAGTCGACCCTTCATCTGGTCCTTCGTCTCCGAGGCGGTGGTCTTCTGACTCTCTGAACGGATGGACACTCTTCTCGAGTCATTTGTCGTAATTATCGGCAAAAATTTAAACGTTTTTCCAAAGTCTTAATCTTTGTATTAGTTTTCAATTTTGTATTTCAATATTCAATGTTTGATTCAAATGTAAAGCAAATTTGTTTTTTCGTTTAATTAAAATTAGATTTAAAGCATTAATAATGTGTTTAATTGAATGAAATACACGATTATATTAAACAAATTGATGGCAGGTTTGTGAACACAATTAACATTCAGTTTTAAAGCCATTTAAATACAATATAAAAAAAAGTTATATAAAAATAAACTCCGATTCGCGATGTGATGGCAGTTGTCGTTCAAAGTCTAGAATATATATTAATTTAGTGTATAATAAGTAAAATACAATTGATTTTAAAATAAACATTTCTCAAATCACTTCTAAATCCATAAATTGTTTCGCTTTTTAAGACAAACAAAAGTTATGCAAACATTTGTGTTCCGCTTAAGAATACATTCAAATATAGATTTTGTATTTTCGTGTCATTTAAATACCAGTAAAACGTTTGGCACAAAAAATAGAGAGAAAACTAATCCAAATATTTTCATACAAAACGATTTCAATTATAATTATAATAGTCTTATATTATAGTAACAAATGGTTTGACGAATAATCAAAGTATTGTCTCCGAGTTGTCGCCACCGATCGGCTCCTCGTTGGCGTTGTTGTCGTTCTTCGACTGATTACTAGTGACCACTGGTTTGATGTCGTCGTTGAACTGGATTTCCGGCGCCTTATACCAGACGACGGCGTCGACCAGGAATGCGGCGAACATTATGATAGCCGTCACGCCGTGAAACACGTGCCGAAACTTAACCGGATCGTAGATACGACAGGCGCCACGTTTGCCACAATCGCCCTCCCAGAACAGACACGCACTGTCCACCACTGCGCCGTAGATGATTGGACAGGGAACGTTACCTACCGGTGCCATACCGGCGCTCATCATTAGTCAACTATTGCTTGCACTCAATGTGTCCGCACTTACCGAAGAGGCCGATGGCGAATGAGATGAGACCCAAAGCCATAGCCTTGTCCTGAGGATCGACACATCTGCAGGGGAATGGTATGTCAAGTATTAGTAATGGATTCTTAATTCTCACGGAATATTCTGTAACAATAGCTGTTGACAATACCTGAGCGTGAGTAACATGGATCCCACCTCTGATGTCGAGTGAATTAAGACAAAGAATGAGAAGATAATGATATACCACTTAAGGTTATTGCACTCTAGAGGACACGACCCGTTCCTGGCCGTCACGTGCGGCTCAAGACATTTACACTTGGAATATATGAACTGAATTCACGTGACATAAGGGTTAGAGTTAGACATCAGTGACAATGAATTTCTCAACAAAACAGTACTTCATTATTGGATGAGTTAACTGAAGTACATCCGGCCAGACATGGGGACAGGTATGTGATGCCAGTGCTCGTACAGATGGGCGCGTACTCGCCGTTAGGACACGAACACCGTTCCGAACAACTGGAAAGGGATGTGTTCTCGTAGTTCTCACTGCAAACCAGAAGCAAACAAATGGTGAGATAATGATCAACAAGTGATGAACGCATTCATTGATTGAAAACCTGTCGACATTGAGACCGACGAAGTTGTTGAGAGGGCAGCCGAGGAACATAAGGATCACCATTCCTATGGCGTACAACAGAGCTGCCAGTGCTATCCAACGGGCGACGAACCGGGCGTTTGGCTTATACTTCCTCATGAAGGAACCGCTCGCGAAGATACCGATTCCCATCACAAAAATGCCGGCCATTCCTGATATCATATTGGCTTTGGTGGCCGTCAACTGGAACTGACTCTCGAGATATTTCGGTAAAAAGGTATACAACCCGGCGATCGGCAAAATGTGCAGAACGCTGGACGCCGTCCGACACAGCAGTATGTCGTTCCTCAGCAGCCGTTTCATAGCTGTTGGGAAGTCTTTGAGAGACGGCTTTCCGCTCTTTTTGCTGTTCTTCAGGATTAGCGCTATTTCTGTGTCAATGGTTTCCGACAACTGCTTATCGATCGTAATATTTGTCGAATGGTTTGATTGTCCGGAAGTGTTGTGCTGTTGTTTAAACATCCCGTTTGTGGCCATCAGTAGCTTCTGCTGCTCTAACAGACTGTTCTGCTGCTGGATATGACAGTAAGAGCTGGGGTCGGGTTGAGGTAGCCGTCGGGGGAACACCATCATCGGGAATGAGGTGAGTGCCAGCGATATGCCCACTATGAACACCCCTAACCACCTGTTTGTGTATAGATATACATAAATTAGTTGCTAATTAGTGTACAAATGGGGGTCAGGGGTGCAGACCAGGCGCCTATCCATTGCGGATCGTTTGGTGTCAGACTTGAAGTGCCTATTATTGCAGAAACGGATGAACAGATGCAACAAATGAGATACAAATCACAAGATTTTTGTTCGTGTAAATATTTATGTCATATATTTTTATCATTCAAAATGAAAAATGTTTTTATAATTCATTGATTATATTAATCGCATTCATGTCTCTCATTACAAGTAAACCAATTTTTCTAATCCTTTTCTCCTCTCATATATCGACTTAAAAAATGCTTTTAATTTGCGTTTCGAGTCAATTATATATAAATATAAACTTATGAACCAAAAGAGCTTAAGAGTTAAGAGTCTATACATGTGTTTCATTATATAAGTAGCGAATCGAGAGAATCAGTCCACTTGTGAATCACCTAAAAGTGGAACAGTTAGTGACTAAAGAGGTTATACATGACAGCGAATGGCGAATCACCAAATGCTGTGTATAGTGAGTATCTGTGATCTCATATTAATGGTAAAAGTGTTGGAGTGGTTGATAGGCACCAGAAACGAGGTCTAGAAAACTCTTTTCTCACTCACTCTGACTCTGACTACTGTTGCCAATCGACTAACTGTTCGCTAATCAGCTGTCGAGTCGAGTCACTCGATTGCTAACTGCTCTCAAACTCCATACCGTATATCCAACACAACACAGTCTCTCTCTCTCTCTCTCTCTCTCTCTCTCTCTTACCGAATGGGAATTCCACGAAAACACTGGTGCAAAGAGATCCTAATAAGAAACCACAAACGGGGCCAAAAATTCTCACTCCAATAGTGATACCTATGGATAGTGTGAATCAAAATTCAAATATTAGATAAGTTTTTTATATATCGGTTTATAATATAAACATCCAATTAATTTGCACTAAACCTGTACTTTGAAAAAAACATTTTCAATTTATTTGTAAATGAATTTTGTATCTCTTATAAAGAATTCATTACACAATATCTAGTCTACTGTACTCTCTTATAATCTGTTGCATTGGTATTGATTGTTGTATTGATGAGAATAACAAAAGTGAGAAATAAAGCAAAGAATACTGTATAGTGTATTACCTTACAGTGTATACCGTACAGTATCGTATTTATTAATGAACCTCAAAAGCATAATAATATATCAAATGTTTGTCTATAACGGTATTATACTTATTGATTTGTTCAAAATACATGCATTCATTAAACGGCATTAAACTGAAACTGTTGACTACACTTTTTGTTAATAAATTTCTATTTTTAAACTCAAACACAGAGTAAACACAAGCATTTAATTAAATACGAAAAATCTTTTCAAACCAAATGACCGCAAGTCTAGTCATAAATAGAGATTAAAGCGGTTTCAATGCCTTTGCTTTTCATTTGGCATTAAAACCAAAAATAGATTCAATTTATAAAAGGATTGTTTGAATGAATGAATACCGAAATAAAGCGGAGATTCCTTGGGGGCGACGTTATCGTCGATGTAAGGGATGCCCAGAGTGTTGACAGCCGTCGCTCCGATCCCTATCAACAGTAGACTCACGAAGAATATACTCAATACAGTGTTCGTAATCCTCGACTTGTTATTAATGGTCTCTTTGTGATCACATTTGGACACACTTTGCGATGAATTCACACCAATTGAGTGGATATTCTTTGCGCCAAAGAATTGAGATTCCGGTGAAGAGGAGGTGCCGTTTGGCGCCAACAGCGACGAGACGCCGGACGACAGCCACTCGTGGGAGGTGTGGGCCGTCGGCGTCGACGTGAAGCACAGTTTAGTGTTATATTCGCGCAGTTTTGCACTGTTTAGCGATTCCGGCGAATCGATTGCACTGCTAGTGAACGGCGTTAGCGTAGTGCCGGCGCCCACATCACTGCCGAACAGGTAGTGCGGAGTCGAGCACAGGATGGACGCGAAGGCGAAGATCAACATTCCGCAGGCGATCCATTTGGGTCGGTGCCCGTGACCCCCGTAGTACGTGAGCAACAGAGCGCCGCCTATCTGGCCGATCTCCGTGGCCGACATAATCATTCCGGTGGTCTTACTCTGGATTTGGTACAGTTTCTCGATGGTTGTCAACACACTCACGAAGTATGTGTAATACATGCCCTGCAAGACACTCGTCAAGCAAAATATGGCCAAAAATGTCTGTTTGTTCGCAAACTTCTGCAACCATTTCGGACGTATTGAACACAAACCACACGAATATTCTCTCGCGTCGTTGACGGCCACCAGCGGCAGGAACGGTGTGTTCGCGCCGTTGTTATTGCCGTTCAGTGGGGGCTCACTATCACCGCCGACGGCCAGCGCGCCGTTGAGCGCCGCCGTCTCCGGCGAGTCCTGACCCGCGCCCGTCATGTCTGCACCGATGGTGCGATCGGTGCCGTCGACATCAGCGGTCGATACGCCACTGATTATCACATTTCCATTTGCGTTCATATCGTTATCAACAGCTGTTCCGCGATTCTTGCCGTTCGTGTTGGCGGTGGTGGCCGTCGATAGGGTGGCGGACAGGGAGGCCATGGGTTTGCTTGTCATCGGTGTGTTGTCGCTCTTGTAATACACTTTTTAGCTGTCATTTAGTAATAAGAATCACAAAAATCTTGTTATTAGAGAGAGTTTGTGAGCGTTTTTTTCGGACTAAAAACAACTAACAGTTGAGTTGTTTAACAAGTTTTCGTGAAAATCGAAATAACATAACGAGTGAAGCGATGATCCGTTTTTGAGACTTTTAAACGCAAACCATTACTCCCAGTGACGGATCCAGGGATTCATGCGCACCACCAGCTCTGTGTGCCTTTCCTATCACTACGACTGTCCACAAAACACACAACACATCCACTGCCAGGGGATGAGGAGCTCTGCTTTGGAGGCTATAGATTGTGGCGGAGAGAGAGGTATACAACGAATAGAGTGAATACATGCCTTTCCTATCACTACGACTGTCCACAAAACACACAACACATCCACTGCCAGGGGATGAGGAGCTCTGCTTTGGAGGCTATAGATTGTGGCGGAGAGAGAGGTATACAACGAATAGAGTGAATACATGTATACATTGAATGCATGTATAATAAGCTATGGATTGGGATTTGCGGAGAGAATTGAATGAGAAATAGCTGTCAATGAGTTGAGAGAAGTTGAGACACTTTTGGGGGAATATTTGCCCAAAAACAGGTCATTTCACAGGAATATCTCTATGAATACCCAGTGAAATATGGCCTAAAAATGATTATCTATGAAAAAAGTGGCGATAAAATTAATCAGTGAATCATTTTTTAAACAAATATTCCGAATAATGCTCTAAATTATAGCGTTTTTAATTGAAATCACTGTTTGTTTTATCGATTAATTTACAGCGAAAATAGTGATTATAAATTATAAAACATTTTATATATAAAGTATAACTTATTTACACTTTTAAATGGGATTTATTTGGACGACAGTATATTTGATGCCATAGTTAGCGTATATATTCATACGATTTATTTTTGAACACATAATATAATAGTCTAAAGCAAACAAAAGCTAACTGTTCAGTGAGTAGAGTATACGGTTCGCAAACTTGCTCTCAAACATCAGGGTCACCGCAAACACCCACAAGCGTTACGTGATTTGTGAGTATTTGGTTTAGAGGCCAAAGAATCAAAAGAAAATATTCTCTCTCTCTCTCTCTCCCTCTCTCTCTCTCTCTCTCTCCCCTCGAAAGCAAAGTTTTAGTGACGGAATCGAAATGAAGGTCACAATCAATAGAAACATCGATTCATTATATAATATAATATTTTGAGAAAAAAAATACAAATTTTCTAATCTTATAAATATAGTTAAGTAATGCATAAATCATATTAAATACAGTGTGTATATATTGAGATTAAATGGCAAATAACTTCATATATTTGATCGAAAGAATGTTTTTCTTATTTGGTTTCATATCAAGTGAAAGACACGAAGACATTGAGAATATAAATCATATATAAATCATGTGTTCATTAACTCTGCGTTAAATAATAGTTGTGATGACTATTCACTATTTATATATAGTATTCATGCTTTTTATCTCTTATTTGAATTTCACATTAGATTTTATTTATACAATGTATATAAAAATGAGTCTAAACTTACGAAATATTCATTTTAATCATCACCAGACTCTTCACACTTATCTTATATAACAAAATACTTATTAGCTTTTGATTAAGTATTTCTCGCATTGATATCTTATTTACACATTTGTTTTGAGACATCAATTTATGTAAATAAGTGTTTGCTTTGTATTCAAATCAATTTTAATAGAAAAACAATTTCTTTTAGAAGTTAGAAAGTGTTTCCAAAAAACTTTAGTTACTTTTAGTGCATGTTGTAGTCGTATAGTACATGTCGGACTTACTTTGCACTTAAGAGGGAAAGGGAGGGAATGGAGACAACATTTTTTGTCACAATTCCGAGAATTATTGAGAATTATTTAATGAAATGTTTTCTTCAAAAAAGAGAGAGATTTTAGTTGGCATTCAATGCGATTAAATAAAGTTTGTATACAATTATGTGTTTTATATTAGTTTGCAGTGAAGGACATGACTTATGCAGACAAGTAGAACGAGAGAGAGAGAGAGAGAGAGGGAGGGAGAGAGAGAGAGAGGGAGAGAGAGAGAGGGAGAGAGAGAGAGATGTGGATTAGAGTAGTTGTGGTTGTGGTGTGTGTGACATCACTGATCAACTAATCGGACAAGTTTTCTAACACTGAAAAAATATAATACTTTTTTCTCTCTTATCGAAATTGGATATAATATTTGGATTAACAGTAAAGTAAAGCAAAGTATACCTAAATATAGCATTCATTTGCTATAATAAAGTGAGAAAAGCGTATAATTCGTAAGACTTATTGAATGAAGTGTTGTCTTCAGCATTGGCTCAATCGGTGTGAAAGTCGGTCACAAAACGGCACATAAACTGTAAACTGATTTACGATTATATTTGTATGAATTCGTAGAAGAAATTCATTTTTAGCTTTCGTTTGCATCGAGAAAATTGCTTTTGAATTCTCAATACATATATTGAAATACAGTACAACTATTTGATAGATAGGACTCAACCATAAGTTATAATTATATGATTGAAGCACTGATAACACAATTGATTCAAACTTTGTTGAACACTATTTATTATACAGTATATTAGGTATTGCCTCAGAATATACTGTATATTGTTATGGCTTTGGAAATAGATTTGAAAACTTTTTATACAAATACCCAACAAAACAATTTTGTCTATAGTTTATGACAAACTTTGTGTAATGCGGTTATTAAGCAATTAAGTGTTTCGCACACAAAATGCCCACATATTAGGAAAGCACACAATATCTCTCAGTCGGCCAATAGTGTACACTTGAGTACAGTATAGACAGGCAGTCGGATAGCATGGAGTGGTTGGCGATGGCGAGCGACCAAAAGCAACACCAAATCCAGTCTACTATTGATAATCTCAAACAAAAATATACATAAAATGTTTGTGTCGTGAATAGCGTATAATATATGTGTAGTGAATGTACGCAAGTCTGCAAACTCTCTAATATTTCTGACTGACTTTGCGAGAGCAGACATTCTCTCTCTCTCTCTCTCTCTCTTTTTCTCTCTCCCTCTCTCTCTCTCCTCGGAGAAAAAAAGACTCATTTCTCGAGTCAATAGAACTCAACACCACTTATGGCTTACGGCTCTATTCTGTATATAAGTTAAGGAGAGTTTAGTCCATCCATTTAAAGCACAGGTATTGTAGGTATAGGCGCTCTCACTCCACTCACTTGTGGCGCTTATTAATCGTTTGAACCGAAAATATTTTAAGTTTAATGTCTTGTTTGCACGAATCGATTGCTGCACAGAATGAGAGAGAGAATGGACGAGAAATTAGGAAAAAATCAGTTTCATTCTCTCCTCCCTGTGCTCTCTCTCTCTCTCTCTCTCTCTCTCTCTCTCTCTCTCTCAGACTTTCATGTTCTCATTCAAAAGCATTTATAAATTCAAATCGGAGTTCAATTCTCATCATTTTATTCATGAATTATTTTCTTGTTTTTATTTTCCAAAAACAATTTTTCTAAAACTTTTGATTTATTATTCAAAATAAAAATAATAAGACTTTTGTCGGAGAAGTGAATGGAAGTACTCTTTAACATATAATACTCGTTAAAATTCATACAAATTGTAATATCGAGTAAACGTTTTAATCGTTTTCTTGTCTTTCATTTGTATTATTATTATTTTCTCAGTGTTTATAATAATGTTTATCTCGATTTGACAACAAATATTACATGAATTCACAGAACTTTCTATTAAAATAACATTTAATTCTATCCATAAAATCGAGATATTTGTGACAATTTACTCTAGAATTACGAAAACAATTTCAAAAGAGTTTCGTTACATATGTTTCTATATTATAATGGTATTTGAGTTTTTGTGTCTGAAAGCAATATAATTAATGTTAAAGTGATTTTTTGATAAATTTATTTTAATTTTGATGTAGAGTAAAAGTGGTTAAATGTGTGTCCAAATCAAAACACAACTAATAAAGTCATGCGATTTGTCGTCAAAATTAAAACTCATTCAAAGCATATCTCTGGCGAAGACTTGTTCAAGTGTTTGCACTATTTGTTTGTGGTTTTACTATAATGTAATTGATTTTTGTCGGAAAATTCAAATTGCGATACAATTTGAACGCCTCTTTCATAGTTTGTTATCACAGTATATAAAATCAAATAATAATTACAATTCATTTCCTATCGTTCGGTAGTTTTATAATACAATAAAATCTCTTGAAATAAAGGTCGCTTTTTTCAGTGCTCTTTTCAATGTGTGATTTGATAATCAGTTTTATGTTTAAAAATTAAAATTCTTTCTAAATGTGTCCCAAAAATAAACAATTAGTTGTTCTCTAAACTCTTGAGAGACCAAAAGGCTGTCTCTCTTTGGCTGTCGAACTATATGTGAATTCTTCGTCCCTTTCATTGAGTTCCTGTTCGTCCATATCGTTAGCGCTGTTATAATCTGTCGGTTCGGTTGGAGAACAACGAAAGCAATATTACAACCAAAACCCAGTGCCAGTCAATCAGAATACAGACCGGAGTCCGGACCCAAAGGCTGCTCCTCTTCGTCTTCGCGGATGTTTGTATTCCATCCGAAGACTGATAGTCTGTCTAATGATATAATGGAAGAGACGATCTCTCCCACAGACAGGGCCTGAGGTTTGTCTAAATCCTTCTTATGGCGCCAACAGATGAGCAGCCAATCCAAGAAAAACAAGAGACCGGCCGCCACTTTGAGACCACTGCACACACCGACATACCTGTCCACGCAATCAATGATCGATTAGTTTGACAACACTGTCACCATAACCATAAGCGTTGGACACATACCTGAGTCGGAACTGTTCGATGTTGTAGAGCAGACAGAAGCCTCCCTGTTGTCCGCAGTGGGCCTTCCATACGATGCACGTCGAGTCGATTACATTACCGAAAATGATTGGCGACGGTATGTAACCAAACAGACGGAAGATCACGAATTGCATCCCCAATGCCAGTGACCTCTCTTCCTCCTCCACAGATCTATTCCAACAAAACATTCCATAAGTATTGGTAACACAACTCATTAGCACTTTATTCACACCTCAATGTAATCATAAGTAATGGCATTTGCGTTATAGAGACGACTAATGTTATGACAAACAGGAGAACCATGAATGGGATCATCGCTTGGCAGAGCTGAGGACAGGGACCCGCAGTGGCCAACGGGATTGCCGTCACCTCTTGATTGCTTGAGTACGTCATATTCAACGAAATACAGGCGCAGTTACTGTAGTTTTGAGTCTACGACACATCAAATGATAATTTTCATCAATCAGTTTAAACCTCAATCGACGGCAACAAAAGGCATACATTTCGGGGTCCTTCGGCTGACTTACAGCCAGCAAAACACGGAGAATAATAACTAATTTTGTTTTGCGTATCACATACGGGCTCCAATTCGTTAGGAGAGCACCGGCAGCCCATATTGCAGTCGGCAGTCAAGTTGACTTGAAAGGCGTCAAATCGCGAACTATAACCACAAAAATGCATCAAATTAGTGATCACAGACTCAAAAGCCAATGCAAATGTGCACTACTTGTTAGCGTATGGAAGTGTAGTGCCGGCCATCCGGACATTATCGCAGCCCAAGAAGTAGAGTGCGGTGTAGAGACCCATAGTTTGGTTCAACTTCTTATCCTGCTTGACTTACCGTGGGAAACCGAAGTAAACCTTCGCAAAGTTATCTATCGGCGGATTCTTCTACGGCTGCGTCCGTGGCCCGTGACGCTAGGGTGGCCGTTTGTAGTTGGCCTCCGATTTGCCTAAACTGAACTGCGTTTCCAAATATTTGGGCAAAAAGACGAGGAACCCGCTGACGATCGCCAACTCCATGCACGAGCCCAGGCATGTGGTCATGTAGACCGGGTTCGTGAGTAGGCGCCACATGCAGGCCGGGATCTCTTTGAGGTTTCGGCCGTACTCTGGCTTATGTTGCGCTGGACTACGGGACCGACTCATCGAGTTGTTGGCCGACGACTCGTTGGCCATGTATTTGGTTTTGTGGATGAGTTGGTCCTCGGGTTCGGCCGATTGCAGAGAACGCATGTGTTTATCGGATCTGCTTTTTGGTTTCAGACTTTTGGGGAACGCGAAGAATGGTATGGATATGATAATGAGTAGAATGCCGAGCATAATGAACCCGGCCCACCAGGCGCCTATCCACTTGGGGTGACCGGGAGATATGTCTAGGGGTACGGTCCCCGAGCCAAACGAGTTCTCGTGAACCTGGATGAAATAGCCGCCCAATAGGAAGGGTGTGTGGTTTGGTTTGCGGTGGTAGCTTATGTATGTCGGAAAGGCAATGTGTGTTGTGTAATTAGTAGTTATGTAAGTTACAGACAGAATTACATTCAATACAAAATTATTATCTATTTGAGTACTGTAATGGGTTTGGGATTGAATGAGAAGTATGAATATTGTATGTTTGTGTGGGTGTAGTGTACGTGCAATGCATACCGATATACATGGATGAGCTTTCCTTCTTGACGTGATCGTCGATATAAGTTGTGCCTAACGTGAAGATAGGAGTTCCGCCGCAACCGATCAAAATCATGGCCAAAATGAATATGAGAATGTGGGGCGCGTTATAAGTGCCCCCTTCCACACACGTCGGGTCGTTGTTCGGCGGCACAGGGTTTATGAAATGGCTGTGCGATTGGCGACAGAATTCGTATAAAATAAACACTCTATTAGACACTTTGTCGCCGATTATACGCTAATTGAGTCACTCATAGACTGCACGCATACCTGGCTTTCTGGAGCACAGGAGAGCTGAGAGCTGGTGTGGGTATACGGCATGTGTTGTCAGATAGAGGGCCCGAAACGTTCACATTATCTATAATTGCGATGAAAGAGTGGTTTTTAGCATAAATTTCACACAAAAACAACAGATAAACTGAAAGCCACGAAAGACTGACGACACGCACCCAACGGGTTGTGAATATCCATGAAGTGTGGGATCGCGAACACAATGGAACCGATGCCTGTGATGAGGATTCCTTTGCCGATCCACTGAGGAATGTGTCGATAAGTGCCGAAATAGCTCACGAATATAATGGTGAGTAGGTTTCCCAACTCGAATGTACTGACTATAGCACCGGTCACTTTGCTCGGGAAGTCGAACCGCTTCTCTATAGTCGTTATGACACTATTTGGACGCAAAAGTAATTTGTTTGATATAATCACTGAATGACTATTCATATAGATGTGGAATACCTATTGAAATATCCGGAAGAGAGGGCCTGTTGTAGAGTAACCAAAATGCTACAGAAGAAGACGAACACCTGAATTGTGGCCATTTGTTGCAGACATCGCGGACGGAATGACATAAAACCGCAGTTCGGCGGCTCATCTGATTGTAAGCCTATGGCAAGCATTGGAGACAAACAATATTTGTTAATCAATGAATGAAATGCTTTAATTCAATACAAATAACTTTAATCTCAAACAAAATTCGAGAAATTAGTTACCATTTTGTTGATCGATAGCAAGAGTTCCCGAATTGACGTCACCTAACAAAGAATTTGCCAACCTTCGCTAGTCTAGCATCTATAACTCAAGCCTTATCCAAAACTGGCCTTATAATGAGCTTCTTATATTCGCCTTCAGTAACCTTGCCAAGGCGACCACTACTCGCAACAGACCGGTGGCCGTATATAACGAAGACTCGCGTAAACTGTTATTTCCGGCACTCTTTGTTCGTTTGTGGCCTCGGGTTCGATGGCTTAGAGTGGAGGGACCGGAGCCCAGCGCTAGTGTCATAGCCCGCGGCGGGTTTTCAATGGTGGGAGAGTTTGGCAGAAAAGGACCGCTCATTGCGTTGGCCTCCTGTCGATCGTCGACGCGATTGTCGCCAATGTTGTGACGAATTATATCACAACAACCCGTTGTCGACGACATCCTCCTCTTACGAAGGATTAGGTTTTGAGTATAAAGTTATTTATGACTTGAGATTTGTCTCATTCTTTGATATCATCTCTTCTGGAGAATAATGAGAGACAAAGAAAAAACATAAGAATAAGAGAATTATGTTATCATTAATTGGAAACAATGGAAACACACGTCAAAAGCAAAAATAATTCATTAATTTTAAGCTCAATTAAAATACATAATAGACTAATGATATGGTATTTCCGAGTGTAAAGTCTGAGACCCAAACACTCCATACAATAAACTCATTTTCCGGGTTTTGAACCATTCAGGAGACGATATATCTCTCNACACACGTCAAAAGCAAAAATAATTCATTAATTTTAAGCTCAATTAAAATACATAATAGACTAATGATATGGTATTTCCGAGTGTAAAGTCTGAGACCCAAACACTCCATACAATAAACTCATTTTCCGGGTTTTGAACCATTCAGGAGACGATATATCTCTCTCTCAGCACACAATTGTCACATTAAATCACAACAATTTTCAACAAATACTAATCTATTTATTGTTTATATGTTTACCTAAAAAGTTGTATTTATTTATTCGTATGAATATGGATTAGAAAATTAGTGTCAATATATATCCTATAAATATAAATACATATCAAATAAGTCAATGATTATATGAACAAAAAAGAGACTAAATAATACGGTAATTAAATAATTGGATCGGAAATCAAACAAATCATTCACTGAAAGCTTAATATCATGGATACTGTACTGTATGTATAAATAGCATGTTTGCTATTGTATGGCATATGAGATATCATACGAGCTTTAAGATCGGAATCGATGAACAAAATTAAGAGCAAAAGTAAATTTCTGTTTGACTCGCAAAATGTTAATCTCTCACGAAATACATTAATAAATAAAGCTCAATTAAAATACATAATAGACTAATGATATGGTATTTCCGAGTGTAAAGTCTGAGACCCAAACACTCCATACAATAAACTCATTTTCCGGGTTTTGAACCATTCAGGAGACGATATATCTCTCCCATTCTCTCTCTCAGCACACAATTGTCACATTAAATCACAACAATTTTCAACAAATACTACAATCTATTTATTGTTTATATGTTTACCTAAAAAGTTGTATTTATTTATTCGTATGAATATGGATTAGAAAATTAGTGTCAATATATATCCTATAAATATAAATACATATAAAATAAGTCAATGATTATATGAACAAAAAAGAGACTAAATAATACGGTAATTAAATAATTGGATCGGAAATCAAACAAATCATCCACTGAAAGCTTAATATCATGGATACTGTACTGTATATATAAATAGCATGTTTTGATAACATACCGTATACTCTATAGTATGCTCGAAATTCTAGCCTTAGCTACTTGTTTTAATTCTCGTTTTCATTTAAAGACAAACTGAGCGTTTTACAATTAGAGAGTGCTTTATGTAATTATTTATGCAAACGATAACATTACTAAAAATATTTATTCTTTAATATCACTTCATATCAACACAACTTTTTTAAAAGAGATTTTTAATAGATTTCAATATAAAAATAGTCATAAAAATCACTAAAAACAAGTCCAATATGTCGACCAGTTTTTTAGATTATTGGGACATAAATATAGTATACCTTTTGGGAAGAGCATTGAATTTTTGTATTCATTAAATTAGGTTTTTAGTAAATAAATGCATTATAAGAGAAACATTAATAACAATTAAATTAATGTCTTCTCTCTCTCTCTCTATCTCTCGTCTATTATTAGTTTATATTGAGAGCTCTCTTCTTAACGAAAAGCTGCGAATCCTAACTCATAATGACTGTGTTCTTTAGCTAAATAAACTATTCTTATAACTTTATATTATACTTTTGTTAAAGTACATGAAATGATAGCTTTCGAATGACACATAATGTTATTGTTCAGATATCAAAACCGACACAGTATTGAATTATTGGTCAATCGATTGTAGCTTTTGTTTGAATTCTGGACTCTAAATGCGATACTTTATAACGATTTTGAAATTATCGATGAAATAAAATTCAAGAACACAATAAATTGAATAATAAAATATAAGTATTACACTAATTAGATATTAATTCGTCAATAATATTGCACTTTTATTATAATGACATTTCGAAATATGTATTTCTTACATGAATTATAGAATATTCTTTCAACAATTAAATTTATGCACAAAATATTATTCACAGAAGAATTTAATTATTGTTTTTCATGTGATATAAGAGAGAAATAAATATCTTTAAAAATAGAAAACAAAAGAGCAATAAAAACGTGAATTATTCGCTAACATAAGGCAGTATTCGTTTGGATTGTAAATCATATAAAAAAAAGATAAGACTTCTGCAGATATTTCACACATTTTGGCAAACATTTCGGCGAATGAATATAAAGAGTCGGTTCATCGAAACGGCGAGAGAGCGAGAGAGAGAGAGAAGACATTAATTTAATTGTTATTAATGTTTCTCTTATAATGCATTTATTTACTAAAAACCTAGCTAAACTGGTTGTCCACATGTGTTAATAGTCCATAATTGATGTGCCATTAGTTTGCCAATGATTTGATGACTTAATTGTTTAGTAATAATATTTGTTCTCATTTTTGACTTTTCTATGATTTCTTGCGAGCGTTTTGAGAGAGAAATGAAAACCCGTTTCGCCACAACTCTCTCTCCCTCTCCCTCCCTCTCCCCCTCAACACAAACATATGATTTGCAAATTGAATGGTGTGTTGGTGTGTTCAGACTTGCCATACTGTAGCGCATAGTGATAGCGACTACGGCATAGTCCTGTGGGCCATAGACACCGATCACATCACCATTTATACCATTTATATGCTTATAGTTTATGAGTAAATACAGTCCATAAATGGAGAGCAGGTTTATTGGCCTCACTTTTTTAGAGGTCATATGGATCTGTAGTACTGTATCTGTGCCCCAAGTCTTCAGCATTTTGCACATTTCTATTCATAACTTTGTTTCACAGTTTTTCTAATTTATCACTCAATTTGGGTTTTATTTTTAAGCGCAGCTTTCCTTTCAATTACTTTATTTCTTAGCGTTTTATAAGTCGTTTGAATTCTTAATGGCTTTTCGCGAAACAAAATTAGTTCACTCTTTCAGTAAAATCTCTTTCTTTTGTTATTAATTCTCAATTTATTTATCCCTTTTTCCTCGTATTACCAAAAAAGTAATGTTTTATATAATTTGCATAACATATGGTTTAATGTAATCATTATGAATTGTACTTTTTATATTTTGATGAATATTTTGCAAACCTAATTAATGATCGTATCAAATGTGTGTTATATATAATATGTAATTAATTATTATAATTGAAGCTATTTATTGGATCAAAACATGGCATTATTAATGATATGTGTTTCCAAATATTTATTCATGAGCTCTGATTTCCACGTGAACTCTACAACCGTTTCATTCACTCCTTACGAATGAACCCTTTTTATGGGAGAAATGAAAACAAGAACTTATTTTTATATATTCTTTAAATTTCAACCACTAGTCAGTGTTTTTGACTGAATGACCCGTTTGTGTGAACTCTCTCTCTCTCTCTCTCTCTCTCTCCCCGTTTCGATGAACCGACTCTTTATATTCATTCGCCGAAATGTTTGCCAAAATGTGTGAAATATCTGCAAAAGTCTTATCTTTTTTTTGTATGATTTACAATCCAAACGAATAGTGCCTTATGTTAGCGAATAATTCACGTTTTTATTGCTCTTTTGTTTTCTATTTTTAAAGATATTTTTCTCTTATATCACATGAAAAACAATAATTAAATTCTTCTGTGAATAATATTTTGTGCATAAATTTAATTGTCGAAAGAATATTCTATAATTGATGTAAGAAATACATATTTCGAAATGTCATTATAATAAAAGTGCAATATTATTGACGAATTAATATCTAATTAGTGTAATACTTATATTTTATTATTCAATTCATTGTGTTCTTGAATTTTATTTCATCGATAATTTCAAAATCGTTATAAAGTATCGCGTTTAGAGTCCAGAATTCAAACAAATGCTACAATCGATTGACCAATAATTCAATACTGTGTCACAAAACTATAGACTTGTTATTGTAATACACAGTAAGCTTTCGATAGTAAAGTACATGAAATTGTTTTCATATTATATTTCAATATTCTTATCAAATAAATCGATTTCTTGTGTCAGTAATACTCAAT